GCGTAGCTGATTTCACCTCCTATTGATGTTTGAACGATTGTGGTAGGAGAAATGTGCCATACCGAGCTACCTACAAGGTAGTGGTGCCCGATGCCGCTACCATTTGCTTTCGTTTTATCTTTCAACTATTCAGGGCGAAGATTTACATGCTTAGAAAGGCGAATCATCTAGATTAAGCCTATTTGTTTTCCCGGTTCAATCGCGTGGTTAATGTGGGAAAGTTGGTGGATTTGAATTTTACACCACTAGTATCACACTCTGGAATTAGAAGGAGAATTGGACATCCAACTTGAATACCTGAGTTAAACGTGCGGAACGCACGTCCACATCTTCGGCCGTATGTGATAACAAAATTTGCTAGCTGGCCGTCGTGGGGCGTAAAAAGCTACACAAAATCCTCAGAAAGACCCCATGCAGTCGCTCGCGAAACAGTCCTTTTTTGATGTGAGGGACAGGATTGTACGATTGGACAAGGCGCTTACTTGTGAAATGGTAATCGTTACTTGCAATCGGTTGCAACATCGCGGGTGAACCACTGCCAGGTAGAGCTTCTTGGCAGCAAACTATAAAATAAGGCCACTACTGCGACCGATTGACGCCGAAAATTGGGGCTTACGCCATTCATTCGAAGGCATATGCTACGGTCTGGTTATAGACTGGATTAAACGCAAGTACTGAACTTGTGCAAGAAGCTCACTGGATAGACCGACATTCTTGTGTCCCATCTGGAACTGACGCACCGGAAATTCGTCTTAGTTTTATTGATAATAAGTAAGTTCATGTTCATTAACTTTTACGTCTTGTTGGATATGTCGCTGTTGAGCATTCGTTTTGCCGTAGTGCGGCATTGAGGCTCAAAGAGGGCTTTTCACTCAAGCCGGGCGAACGAGGCTGCGGTAGTCATTCGTCTGCTGGTCAATAATAACTTCACGCACACGTCCTCGGGCGCGAATTTGACGCTTCTGTATTTGTTACAGGAGAAAATAATCAAGATATGTTTTCTGGAGAATCGGTTCTACAATTTTAAATAACATGTAATCACAATCACAGCATACAAATTACTTGTAGACAGTGAACCTCCATTGGCGATCCAAGTGCTGCCTAATCCATTAGTGGGATGATTTTTGCACACTGAGAAGAACAACTGCTACTGCGCTCGCAAGTGCATGACACTTTCCTTAAACCCTGCTGAAAAAAGCAACAATTTCCAATGCGCACCATAGGCTTGTGTGGCACTTAACTGAGGCCAAAAGATACACAATCTCAGGAAACAAAAAAGCAACCGGTTTCACAGATCGATGGGTCGATCGAATTCAATCGGGCCGCAGGAAGATAGCCTCTGTGGAGCGGCTTGCTAAATATATGTTTTTACCCTTTAGCCTATTTGTCACACGACTTCGAGGATTCATGGTCTCAGTAAAAATGTTGGACATACGCACAAGTGGAGTTTCTTCAGAATGCTTATATTGCGTTCATGACTCCAATTCGTTGAGCAGGTTGCTGTTTTTTGTTAGCTCAGGTTTTATTCATGAATGGTTTGTTGTTTCAGGCACATCCCGATTCAGACTTTTGGGAATGCGAGTGCGTTACATTGATTAGTGAAGTGCATGAGATCTCAGAGTGTATTGTGTGGAAATATGCTCTCAGTTTACGAGCTTTTGTGAGCTCTTTGACGTGCCCTCCAAAAGGTGAGCCAATGAATTAAATCAAAACTTCATTTTGCGAAAAGAACAAAGAGAAAAAATGAGAGTGGAGATTGACAGCTTTAAGGTGGAGATAAATCGCAAGGTTCATACAAAAATACTGTTAGTGTTAAAACTAAGTAGACTCACTGGTGTCACTGTTGTAGGAAAGCCAGTTGTAAAGGATAGTTCAGATAAGGCGGCAGTAGCAATGCAAAGACACAGTGAACACCGTAAATGAAACCAAATAGTGAAAACCTCAACCCGAAATTGCAAACCAAAATTGAAAGCACGGTGTGTTAAATCCAAACAAAAGTTTCATCAGGTAAGAACGAACTCGTCCCGGAAACACTTAAAACCAACCAATATATTTGTTTGTAGTTTTGAGTGGACGACAGGCGGCAGTTGATGGTAGGAAGATGGTTGCGGGTATACCTGTGCCATGCCGTTATTGCATCGACATCCGTTGGTTTGTGGACAGCCCAGAAACGGTCGTCAAGGCCACTACAATAGGACAGAGGATAAGAATTTTCGTGGCGCCTGAATCTCGTTTGGCCGCGGGTGCTGACGTGTTGGTCGGGTTTAGCTGGAAGACCATGTGAGCATTGACCGGGAATCAGCCAGATTAAATGAATGAATGATGGCAATAAAGAGCGTTCGGAGAAAGTACAGTCAAAGTTTGAGGCATGGTGAAAAGATGAGTTATGGAGGAGTAGACTGAGTACAGCGGCATCCGGTGAATTCTGGGAGGCGTCGGGTAAAACGATGCCCAACGGAAAAGATCCAAAAGAGGATAACAGCGACTCAAATGGTCCCACAAAAGTGTGAGTTTTTTGGCCGACTATGAAACTAAGGGCTAGCTGAGGTTGACGACGTATTATGAAGACAACAAATCATTACGTGTGGGCTTCTATTTTGTAGGTTTGCAGTTTCTTCGGATACCGCTGCATGAGCCCATCATTGATGACGAGAGTTGTGTCTCGTTTTCGCGGTGAGCGTCAGTTGATCAGAAGGCATACGGTCAATGCGTCGGTAGGTGTTTAATTTTCGCAAAGTAAGGACTTGGACGCGCGATGTCGGCAAGGGACTAGCCGTTGGTTTAGTTGGAATGGGCGATTACATGTTGAGCTGGACAAGAGACAGTTGTTTTTAGCTTGGCTGGAGAGTCTGATCATAGGGTTCTGTTGTACATTTTATGTGGCCAACTATCTTACACATCAGCAGGATGTCCGTCAACTGACGTGCAGCGTAGACAACACTCATTGTACAAAGCTGAAGAAACAATAAATTGGGTGCTTAAGTTTACTTCTATTTTTGTCGACATTGTGCCGAATAACCATTCTTTAACCTTCTGATCAGTTATTTGCTACCGAGATAGGCAATGACGTAACTAAGTTGTAGGCAGTGGCAATATGCTCCAAACGATAATGTTTATTCCATAAATGCACTAAAAAATTATTCGTTTGTGTAACCGCTCCTGGAAGGCATCCTGAGTAAAACAAAGCAGTGATTGAGTGGGCTAATCATAATTCTACATTTAGCCAAGCCTTCGTTTTGAATATTCTCGTCAATGATAATTTAGCTAATGAGTGAGTATGATAGGTTGTCCGGCTTCCGTCAGTGCTCATTTTATTAATCAATAGTCAACAGTCCGAAACCAGTCGGTTTGGAGACGGCCACCGTAAACATGACCAACGACCACTTGAAGGAAGCAAGGCCTCCACATTTTTACAAATCTGAACGGTACTTTGGCCATGAGAAAAAGCTTCTGAAAGGAGATAACGGGATACATTATCAATCATATCCTCTGTGTATTGGAACAAGGCTTTGTGATTGCTTTAAACTCCAGAAAATCGGTGGCAAATTCAGCCTCTTCGCCTAAAGTGGTTTAACTGCCACCAGGCGTTCCTAATACTGAGATTTCGACGGACGGCTACCCCATTTTTCGAGAAACTTCAAAGAACGGAGCAGCATGTGCAGTTGCTTTATCCAAAATGTGGTCCAATCCACCCAGACTTTTCTGCCGGATATTACTTCCGCACCTTGTTTTAGGGTGCTGTGGATTCAAATTCCACTGTGTGGGACCAAAACTATTCTTGCTGGCGTCGTTTACATTTGGCCTCAAACTCACCGGAACCACACCTTCCTCTCACAAACTCCTCAGTAATGCTTTTTCATCCATTTCTTTAGGTTTCACCGGTAGCTGAAATTACTGTACCCAAGATCTCTGCGTAAGTTTCCTTCACGTGGGGCAGGGTGAAAATTTTGTATCAGCACTGACTGTGGCGCTGCCAAAAGCGATGAGACTCAGTATTTCGGCGCAACTACTGGATACCGCAAAGAGCGACTTCCACACCAAACATAATTGGCTTTCATAAGCACTTCGTCGAACACGTGATAATTTTGGGTTTCCATTAGGCAATGGCCAATGTGTGACGATATTCGGCTGCTACTGCCACGAGGGTGATAATTCTGAACGTTAAAAGTGCGTTGGAACATCTTTCGCCTAGATTTCTCAGGGGCGTCAATCCTCTTTGACCGGCATATAGCTTAACCAAATTTGGTGTGGGTGACATTCACGACTATTTTCTGAAAATTTCACAAATCCGGTGCCAATTATGGTTCATAGAAGTCAGCACAGATCGTCAGTACAGGTCAGTCAGTAAGGGTGTTGGGTCTGCCTTATGGAGATTCAGATGGTCTCGGGAATCCTTCCCAGGCTGGAACCATAAATCGGGGCTGCGCAAAGATCCGAAATGAATT